CTAAAGAGCATACTTTCATACCTGCATGGCTTTTAGGTTCATATCTGATCAAAAACTAAAAATTGCAAGAGAAAAATTTAATTAGGAAAAAAGAAACAACTTGTATAAACCGCAAAGAAAATTGGTAAAAGAAAGTTTTTCCAGTATATCGTTAAATTTGAGTAAAAAGAAACGTCCGGTTCTTACGTTTGTCTTTCTAATTTGTCCAAAGTATTTGTTTGGCTAGCCTTAGTCTTAGGAAACCAATTTTGCTTCTAATCTTTATTAACTTCAACAATTATCATACCATAAGAAAGATTATGACTCTAATCAGGGCCGTCCCTACATTTTAAGGGCACAAGGCGAGTTTTAAAACTATTTTTTTAAAGATTTTTTTACAAGAAAATATTGAATCTTTAACTAATTTCTATGAAAATATGAATGTACAACTTACTTAGTTAGATTTTAAATGTTTTAAATATAATATTTTTAGAAGTAAAATATATTAAACAACAGTATATATATTCTGTTTTTTTTTCTAAAAATCATTATCCATTATTTTTCTTAAATTATCATAGTTCTTTTACATTATATTAATAGTTGTATGTAAAAATCTTAACTAACGTAAAACCAACTGCATATTTATTAAAGAAACGAATGATGTGAAATGAAAACATTCAACCTCCAGTACAAAGTAACAAACTAAGCATGAAGATAATTTTTTTTAAAAAAAACTAAACATGAAGATATATGATTTTTTCAATAGAACTATGAAAAGGTATGTAATTAGGGACCCCAATATTTGGCGTTAATTAGGGGGCCTAAGGCAAATGCCTTAATTTTTGTACACTAAGCACGGCCCTGACTCTAATGCCGGAATTATGCAAAATCATTTAACCATTAGGAGACAAAACATATTATACCATAAGGATCATAACAAACCATCACATGAATGTGATATTTTTAAACATAGGTTCATATAAGTAGTAGTGATGATAACTAGGGAAAATGATTATGTAAAACATAGAGATCAAATTCTCTGAGAGAGAAAATGTGGTTTTTATTTTGATTCAGCATGTCAAAAGAGGAGATGATCCACTGCATTTGACATCAGAAGAATCCGAAAGGCGTTGTCTCGGAGAGAGCGTTGTGATCGCTGCAGCATCGACGTCGAGATTCACTATGAGTTTTCTCTTTTGAGACTCTATCACACTGTTTCTTCTCTCTTCTGATCCTTCGGCTATGGGGCTTAAGATCTGTGTTGTTTCTTCTGCTGCTATTGCTCCTCCTACGTCTTCTCCATCTGCTGCGTATAAGATTCTTTTTATCGAACCAACAAGCTGCACACAACAACAGAGTGATGATTCAAAACATCTTTTGAAATTTTACTTCTTTGAAATGAGAGATTGAGTTGCGTACAGGTAAGTGTTCAGTGTCTGGGTTTTGACAGAGGATTTCTACATCTCTTAGTTTAGAGAAATAGAAGTCTCTCTCTTTCTCCAAGCTGTCTATGTAGAGTTTCAGTTCTGTGATCTGTTGTATGTAATAAAGGAAGTGAGTTATTAGTGAGCTTCTGATATAGACTTTGGTGTACTTAGTTGAAAGAGAAAAGTACCTTTTCATCATAAGCAGGCACTGGTTTAGTTTGTTTAGCTGAGGCTTTTGAAGAGTGGTGATTCCCAGTGTTGGAGGATTGTTGTGGTTCGTGTTTACGGTTTCCATTCGAAGAAGAAGGTCTAGGTGCAGCTGAAGAAGAAGAGGTCTTGCCTGATTGTTGTGAAGCTGCAGCTCTCTTGGTTGCTTCTTTTCCTCCTTTGCTGGCTTCTCTCCTCTCCAGTGCATGGTAACTAGCAGATGAAAAACAAAATGAGTATATGAATTTGGATCAAATATAACGCTAAACTTCATCAAAACAGTACATGAAGTGAGTACAATCCACTAGACTGGTAGGTTGATAAAGAGAACTCAATCAAATCTAAATGCTAACTTCATCTAGGAACATGCTTCAAATGGTCAATTTTGAGTTTTTCTCTGTAAGTTTGATTCAGTGTCACAACAACAATCAAACTCAAGAAGCCAAGTCATAACAGATTCTGGAGATTTGATTGGTAATAAACAAGCCTTCAAGGCTCTGATAGTGTTGAAACTTACTTCTGATGCTGGCCTCCATGCACAGAATCACAGTACTTCTTCATCCATTGCATGAACTCCAAGTTATCCAGCGGTCTACCCTTAACGAGTTTGCTCACTTCAATGTGCTACACAGCAAAAATCAACCACACAAGTCAGTTAGTTCCATTCAAGGTCTATTATACTTGATCGACCAAAAATTGAGAAGATGAAAGAGGACCTTAGTGATCTTGAGTTTGTTAAACACATCCTGAAGCACCTTATAGTTCTGAATCATCTCGTACTCACTCTTCGCATCAAAATTAACCTTGTGCATCGGAACACTTCCAGGATGAACCGAATCCATGAGCTGACAATGAACAGCTCCTGAACAAGCCTATACTCCATAGATCCGTATCCAAAAATCCATAACAACAAAGTAAAAAAAAAAAACAGATCAGAATTCACCGAATCCGTCTATTCAAATCCAGAACCATAATCAAACAAACAACACACAAAAAAATCATCGAACTCCAGATCCGAATCCAAAATTAGGTTCGTAAAGCGAAGAGAAATGACTCACTATTCAAATCCAGAACAACAATAACAAAAATCAATCGAAATTCTAGTAGAAGATGATATCGTAAGATCTGATTCCAAAATTAGGTTTCTCAAATTACTCAAATCGGATTACCTCTTCGACTTTGGAGAGATTTAGTTGGAGAGTGGAGTTAATCCACGCGAGAATCTCCGATCTCCCTACGAAATATGCAGAATCCATCATCCCAATGTTCGTCGCCATCTCCGATACACTCAGATCCAATTCGTTTTTTCTCGAGCTTTCTTTCTCTAACGGCTCTTTTGAAATTAGAGAGAAGAGAAGAGAAACAACTATACAAAAAGGAGGGACCAGAGCGGAGTCTTCAATTCAAAATCCACAATCCGAATCTTGACCCGCTTTGATCATTTCGGATCCAGATACTTTTAACGAGCCCAAAATTATGCTACTTGTAAAGCCCAATAGCCCAAGACGCTAATCTTATTTTCATCCGTTAATCTTTATTTAATTGGAACACAACATAAGATAATTTTGTAACCAGCACAGAGAAATTATTG